GAGAGAGAGAGAGAGAGAGAGAGAGAGAGAGAGAGAGAGAGAGAGAGAGAAGTTCATTTACCAGAGTACCGGAGTTAGAGGCTAAGCAGTTAAGAGGGAATATTGGTCTTTCAGAAGACCTAAGTTTGGTTCCCAGCACCCACATCAGGTAGCTCACAAATACCTGTAATTCTATCTTCATGGGATCTGGTGCTGGTGCTTTTCTAGGCACCTTGGGTACCCCTACACATGCACATATTCATATATAGACACACACACACACACACACTCATATACATAATTAAGAATAAAACATCTTTAAATATGTTTATGAAAACAGAACTCTATCTTACTCATTTAAAACTTGGCAAATGAGGTCTCTATCTTGTGTCATGCACTTAGAGTTATTGACATTATTTATATTTGCTTTCTTTAAAAAGTAGTGTGTGTGTGTGTCCTTGGAAATCAGAAGAGAGGTATTGAATTCCCTAAAACTGAAGTTACAGGCAGTTGTGAGCTGTCCAATGTGGCACTGGGAACTGAATTCAGGTCTTCTGAAGACCAGCAAGCAATCTTAAGTGCTGAGCCATTTCCCAGAAATGACTTCATTTTAATTTTTTGTTTTTGTTTTTTTTTCTGAAGCAGGGTCTTACTACATAGATCTGGCTGACCTGTAACTCACTGTGAAGATCAGGCTGGCCTCAAACTCAGTACAGCTGCCTCTGCCTCCCGAGTGTTGGGATTAAAGGTGAACAGCACTGGACCTGGTTTTAGTGTTAATTCTTAGTCTTGACCAAGGACACACTGTGCTCTGTGGAGGATTTCCCTGTGGATACTGCCTCACCCTCCACCTGTGTGTCTGTCTCTAGGAAAGACTCACTCGTAGAAGCAGGAAGGTCAGAAAGCGGGACCTTCAACTGCTTAAGGCTCGGGAAGAGAGGATGCTGCAGGCTCTGCAGGTGAGTGTCTGAGTTGCAGGAATGGTGTAGAGTTCTAAAGGGCTTCTCCCTCATTGTGGACAACTGTCCGTGGAGCAGCCACAGTTGTGGAATTGTGGTCACGCAGGCTGAAAAACTTGGTTTGAGGGGCTTGGTTTTGAGGTTGGTGAACAGAATGCGAAGCCTTCTGACCTCCATGCATCAGTTTTTTTTTTTTCTCAAGGAAAAACACATATTCTCCCTGGGTTAGTGGTGAGCATCACAATAGATAGTTGAAAATTACCAGACAAGTCACAAGACTCCAACCTGTCCTTGACAATCACTCTTCCCTCCCCCTCGCTCACTTAGGTGAGCACTCTCCTCACAAGGTTGAAAGCAGACATCAAAAGAGCATAGCTGAGTGGTGTGTGTGTGTGTGTATGTGTGTGTGTGTGTGTGTATGGGGTGTGTTCCACTGTGGAAGGACCCCATATCTGTAGATGTGCTCAGAACTGTGAGGTGGGAAGTGGGGGGTGGTGGAAGGGGGTAGGGGGAAGCTTTGTGAAGAGTCCAGTTGCTTCTGAAGTACAATGGCTGGCGAGGCAAGGCTGTGTAGAAAGAGGAGTGGAGGACAATATTCCTACCTAGCTGTTCAGTGCTTAGAGAGCCAGGAGAGAGCGCTTTTATCATCGAATCTCAGGGTAGCTCCTCTTCTGTGCTTTCAGGTAGATTGGGAGAGCCACATGCTAAGAACTGACCTGCAGAACCATGACCAAACCAAGGAACAATTGGAGGCCCTCCATTGGCGTTGGCTGGACCAACAAGAGGACTTACCAGAAGAGGTGGCCAAGATCTTTAACTTCTCTGAGGCAGTAACACAGCTCAGCATCCTGGTTTCTGGCCTGGAAAGGATGGCCAAGGAACTGGATGCCAGCACCCTGAAGGTGTACTTCCTAAGACACCCCCAAATTCAGAGAGAGATAGTAAACAGCCTACTTACAGGTCCCTTCTGGGAGGTGTAAGGGGAGGTACTTCTGGTAATATGTGATGGTTTCCATGTGTGTGAGTGCTTGTGTGCATGTGGCCTGTGTGTGTGTGCGTGCACATGTGCGTGAGTATGTGTGAGAATGTATGTGCATGTGCATGAATGTGTGTGTATATGGTGTCTGTGTGTGTTGATTTCGGGGAGGGTGACTTATACAGGTCTATACCATGATACAACAGAGTGAGGAGGAACGAATGCTATGTTTTATCTCTCGTGTCAGCATGTATAGTGGCCCTCAAGCATGAACTAGGAAGGGTATTAAATGGCAAGAAGCTAGTAACTGACTGATTGTTACCTTTTCTTTCCTAGGATGCCAGTGACTTACTGGACAGGTATGAGTCCCTTTCCTTCTGTCCCACATATGAAGACACATGCAGACCACATAGCATAGATATGTATATGGGCTAAATTAAGGTCAAGGAGACATACTTGGTACCATCATACTACATGGCCAGTGGAAGATTCAGTCAAATATATATGAATTGACGAATGCTTTCTTTTTCTTTAGGAGTGCACCACAGAAATTAGAAGAACTTCTCTCTCGTGTTTCTCCAGCCAGTTCAAAGCTCAGTTAGTCTCCTGCTGTGTTCTTATCCCCACAGCTCTCATCTGATGCCTTAGCCTCTCACGCTGGGACAAAGTCTCCTTCCTAAGCCAGACTTGAGCCTGTGGCTCCCATTGTTGTGGTCAGGCATTCCAGATCTCCATCACATCTGAGGCCATTTGCATAATCTCCATATAACTGTGCGTTGGTGCTTGCACCTACTGCCCATGGTCTCATGGACATCAAAACATCTGGATGTCACAGAAGAGTAAGCCCGCCTCAGCTTATGGAGCAGGTTTATTGAGTAATAGTTCTTCTGACTCTGATAGAACCTTCTGTTCAGTTCACATTGTTCGCTCATTACGACTGTTGCACACAGACTCGAGGGTGATTTCCACAGTCCTCACACTCATGTTCATGTACATGTAGCTTTGACTTGTGGAGTATGAGTGGCATCTGTGACTTGCTTCTCATCAAACGAATGTAGCAGAAGTGACGGAGGTAACTTCAGTGACTATGGACTCTTTCTTGCTAATAGATGCATTCTAGAGACTCTTCTTGCTAAAGTTAGGGATTCTGAGGGAAAAGATATGTGGCTAGCTTCTAGTTTCCTAGAGCAGCCTCAGTCTTCCAGGTGATAGGAATCAGGGAGCCTAGGCCTTACAGTTGCAGCAAACTCTTCCAATACCACAAGTAACTTGGAAGTAGATACTTCTGGGAACTGAAAATGCCCCCACTAATCACCTTGTCCCTGCCCCATAGTTTCCATAAGGCTTGGAAAATTGTAAAAAAAAATCTTATTTCTGCATCCATTTTTATAATAAACTTTCTTATTATTTAAACCAACTGGGATGGGTCTCCTTTCTTTGTGATAGAAACCTTTTACAATGTAAGTAGAGAAAAATCAGGAGTTAACCTGCGGATGTCAGGTAAAATGTGTGACGCTTCTTTGGGGTCTGGTAAAGAGCAATTGGGAGCCTGGAGCTTTTAGACAGACTGTAGCAATTCCTGGGGAAGCAAATGGAATCTGACTCCACCAAGAACAGCCTAGAGGTTTATCACTCACCTTACTGGGAAGCCATCAAATCTATCTACCCCCTTAAGAAGGGAATAAGCTTCAAGTTACCTAGGGCGGAGCATACACTGATAGGTTGAAAGAGTATCTTCCACCGGGCGGTGGTGGCACACGCCTTTAATCCCAGCACTTGGGAGGGAGAGGCAGGCGAATTTCTGAGTTCAAGGCCAGCCTGGTCTACAGAGTGAGCTCCAGGATAGCCAGGACTACACAGAGAAACCCTGTCTCGAAACCCCCCACCCCCACCCCACCCCAAAAAAAAGAAAAAGAGGGAGAGTATCTTCCTCTTCCAGGACCTCTTCCGGGACGGTGCTTAGAGGCACTCAGGATGGTCCGGCGTTTGACATTCCATCATAGTCTATCCTACAAGACAGCTTCTAACAAAACTAGGCTGTCTTGAAACCCTGGCAACAGGATTGTTTACCTTTACACCAAGAAGGTTGGGAAAGCACCTAAATCTGCACATGGTCTGTGCCCAGGCAGACTGTAAGGAGTTCATGCTATGAGACCCAAAGTCCTTGTGAATTTGTCTAAGACAAAGAAGCACATCAGCAGGGTCTATAGCAGTTCCCTGTGTGCCAAGTGTGTCCGTGACAGGATCAAGCAGGCTTTCCTTACTGAGAAGCAGAAAATCATTGTGAAAGTGTTGAAGGCACAAGCACAGAGTCAGAAAGCAAAATAAATATGCAGCTTTTTTAAGTATTAAAAATCGAGACTTGGAAAAAAAAAAGAGAATGGTTATCTTCACTCTCTAGGAGTTTTACTTCTTAGTTTAAGAAAATACAAATTAAGGGGATAGAGAGACAACTCGGCTGTTTAAGAGCACTGGCTGTTCTTCCAGAAGTCCAGGGTTCAATTGCCAACACCCTCCTAGTGGCTCACAATTGTCTGAAATTTCAGTTCCAAGAGATAACATCTTCTTTGGGTCTCCATCAGTGGTGTACATACATATATATAGGTACACATACACATAAAATAAAAGTAAACAAATTTTTTATTTCAAGAGGTAGAGACAAGTGGATCTTTGTGTTCGAGGCCAGCCTGGTCTACATAGTGAGTTCCAGGGCAGCCAGGGATACACAGTGAAACTCTTATCTTGAGAAACCACAATGGAAAAAATTAAAAGAACAAATGAAAGAAAGAAATGAAAGGAAAGAAATAAATGAAAGACAAAGAAAGGAAAGAAAAGAAATACAAATTGTCTTTCAGAATTGCTGTTACTTGTAGTGAGCATAGTCAGCATCAAAATGCTCACCAGGGTTACTCGACCACCAGTTTCCAAACAAGACAGTTTAGAATAAATAGTGTTTAAGAGCTCAGAAGTCAGACATGGATTATAAAGTCCTGGGAGTATGATCTTGGACGTGCACATAACCAATTTTCACCAAGCCTCAGCTCTGTCCTCCTTTTCCTCTTCTTCCTCATTCACCACCACCCATCATCTCTCTCTCTCTCTCTCTCTCTCTCTCTCTCTCTCTCTCTCTCACACACACACACACACACACACACACACACACACACACACACCTCCTCTCCTTTTCAACAGGGATTAGTATAGCTTAGGCTAGCATCAAATTTGCTGTCTCACTGTGTAGCAGAGGCTGGCCTTGAATTCTTGGTCTTCCTGTTTCTACCTACAGACAGTACAAGCATATTATACTACACACAACTGTTTCCTTCATGTTAAACAGGGCATGCTAAAGACTAGGGAGATGGCTCCATAAATAAGCTGCTTGCTGTGTAAAGTAAGTATGAGGCCTGGAGTTTGGATCCTCAGAATATAAGTAAAAGCTAAGCAGCTGCCTGGAATCTCCACACTTGCAGGGAAAAGTCAGGAGAACCCCCAAACCAACTAACTAGCTAGACTAACCAGAACTGATGAGCGAGTTCCGAGTTTAGCAAGGGTGAGCTCCAGATTCAGGAAGAGATATTAAGTGGAGAGTGATTGAGGGCAATATCCGACATCGACTGCAGCACTCTCCCCTACATACACACACGTATCCACACATATAAGCATGCATAAGCATACATAAAACACACACATATTAAAAACCAAAAATGAGAGATGATAATAGACCACACAGAGGTCTACTATCTATAAGGACAATAGAGGGCACGAAGTTTTATAGCAGGAAGAGAACTTCATATACACATACCTTAGAGGTTCCTAGTCACTTTTTAATACTCAAATAAAACCAGTACGAAGAAACAGGAAAATGCAGTCCATTTTAGTGGAACATGAGGCTTGGGGGCTGTGAGTATATTTTGGCATTATATAGATACATGTATATGCTGTTATTATTTAGATATATATTTTATAGGAAATATTGAACACCCTGGAGAAAGTCACCCCTCTGCAGCATCCCCTCCTCTGCAGCACCCCCTCCTCTGCAGCACCCCCTCCTCTGCAGCACCCCCTCCTCTGAGCAGTCATTATGGCCAGGCAATTCCCTCCAACAACAGCAATGACACTACTTCATTGTCTTCCCGGTGCCCCTTTTCCGTATCAGATTATCAACGGCTACCACGGTTTGTTCATAGCTAGCACAGGGGGAAAAATTGTTTCTTTCTTCTTTTTGAAAGGTTCTATATATTGTATTACCGAACCAACTGGCTACCCATTGTGTTACAGGTAAAAGCAAATACGATCCCTAATTTAAACACGACCAAACTTTAGAGGTTAAAATAAAAACTTTCCGCTCTACTGAGTAGGTTTGATGGATGACCATGATTCAGCATAATTAGTGAGTCATGCCGGTGTATGTGGATCCTAACAGAGCCAGCCTGGCAGTCCTACAGTGTCTTCTCTGGGAGTTGTACTGACTCTGTTACCAGTTTTTATCAAAATCCACTGGGGAATAGGATGATGTGGTGGTTTCAATGGGAACAGTCACCATAGGCTCACATGTGCTTGGATCCCAGCTGGTGGAACTGTTTGGAAAGGATTAGGAGGTGTGGCTTTGTTAGAGGATGTGTGTCACTGAGGGTGGGTTTTGAGGTTTCCAAAAGCCCATACCACTCCCAGTTAGCTCCCCCTACCTCATGCTTGTGGATCAAGATGTATTATTCTCTCTGCTACTGCTCCAACACCATGCCTGCTTGCCTGCTCTAGGCTCTCTATCATGATGTTATAGACTCCAACCCTCTGAAACTGTAAGCCTCAAATAAACTTTCTTTATAAACTGTCCTGGTCTAGCGTCCTATTGTAACAGAAAAATAACTACTAAGACAGACATTTTGTTTTTGTCTCTTGCCAGTCCTGGTTGTAGTGTCTTATGGTAACAATATACTAAGACAGACATTTTGCTTTTGTTTCTTGCCAGTCCTGGTTGTAGTGTCTTATTGTAACAGAAAAGTAACTACTAAGACAGACATTTTGCTTTTGTTTTTTTGCCAGGAATCTTTTGATTCTGAATGTCCTCCCACCACGTTTTACACATGCCTTTTATTTTTGTTTGATGCTGAACAGACAGGATTAATATGTCAAGCAACCCCACCGGGTTTTGCTCATCCTCGTTTCAGTGGGGATACGACCCTAAAATCACATCTCTGAAGATGCACTGTGCCTGGTTCTGGACACAGAGTGTCTCCTTGTTAAACTTTTTATAGATGATATAGTCCTTTGCCCTCCCCATGAGGAGGAAAAAACATCATGCTTTACACAGCTTAACAATATGGGGTTCACAGGACCCCTTCTTCCCATACAGATGCTAGTACAGCTTGTGTACATAGTAGCCATCCATTCTGCTTGGAAACACCTGCCAGCCACCAAGGCTCTCCCAGGTGGTACTTCTTGTATAAGGTTGCCATATTGAACTTGCCATGGTGATCTTCAGACTGCTTGGTAAGGATGGGTTTGTCACACTTCAGTGACTTGCCTCATTGGGTCCAACAGCCAGACATAGCAATGGAGGCTGGTGCCACTGGGAGGCTCAGAGCCCACATAATCCAAGAGA